GCAGTTTACCATATTATGAAGATTAGTAGTTAAAGCTGCTTGTAGTATTTCAAGATGGTGCGTTCCATGATGTAATGAGATGTCTTCTTGGTCTGAGCAGGGAATTAATGACTTGTAATTTGCAGCTAATACAAAATGAAACAAGCGCATGCCAGATGTAGAACGCTGAGCCTTGCCATTTAATTAAGGAGGAACTAAGAGTGAAATTAGGGTTAAAGGCCTTGAATAGACTGATTATTGTTATGAAACAGTGAACTGATAGGTACATATTGGAGATACAGAAGCTCAAATTGGTATATACCGTATCTTTGTGCGGTTTGCAGTGCTTGTGATCACAGCGCCCATAGGCATGGCTTGAGCCAGTCTTGAAGTAGCTTTTACTGTTAGGAAGATGATTCACTCTTTCTTGTATGCAGACTCATTATCCCATAATTTTCAGCTATCCTGCCTGCTATCTGTATATTCAGAGGAAAAAGTTTAGGGAGAATTTGACTTGTCACAGCAGTTTACAGACTTTTTTTTTTTTCTTTATTGTATTTTAAAACAATAATGATCAGACACTAGAGAGATTAAATATTTATCTTCCAAGCTTTTAGTACTTGAAACCTAACTATTAAAAATTAAAAATATCAGTACCAAGAAAGGGAATTGTTAGGTGTCTTGGTTTTATTTGACTTTAGGACCCATGCTAATCTTTAGTCAAAGAAAAAATAATCTTGTGGATTTCTTAGAAAAATGTTCTTCTTTGGTAAGTTTTCCTCAGCAAAGAAGGATTCATATGGGTGTGTAGTTGGTTCAAGAATTCTTTGATCTGCAAGGAAAAGACACTTTTTTTTTCTCTTTTGAAGTAGCTGAGTAAGAAAAGCTATTTATGTTTAAGAGCTCCTTAAATATGAGTTGAAGAGCTTAAGTAGCTAGCTCTGATGTGTGTACATCCATAGAATTTAGGCACAAGTTGTGATATCAGTATTACTAGTGCAATTGGTTTGAAAGTTTTATGAATAACAAAATACTTAAACTGATTAAACATACAGCCACTTAAGTCGTTTGTATGTGATGAGATTATCTGAGTAGTTGCCTGACTGAAAGACAGTACGCATGGGTCTGCTTTCTTTAGTTCGGATTCTTGCTGTTCTCAATCCACTTCTTTGGTGTTCATGTTCTAAAATTTGGCAAAACTACTTTAGTAGGTGTCATTGTAGGGCTTTTTATGTTGGTCTTGAGTGTTTGAAGAAAATGGCTTGATTTTTTTTTTTTTTTTTTTTGGTAAGTGTTCAGTTACTTTTGTATTCTAAGTCTATGTTGTGGTCCATAAACCAGGACAGTAATAGTCAAGATCCACCCAGACAAATATTTAACACAATATGTGAATTACTTAAGCCAGCTGATTAGTCTATTAACTGTGGCTGCATTGCATATTTTTTCTCTCATACAAAGTTCTGTTTTCCAACTAATCCTTTGTGCATCTTAAATTTTTGGTTTGTTTTCAGTTGTACACTTAATTAAAAATTAGTATTTGAATCTAGAATTCCTGCTCTATAACGGGTAAAATTTGCAGTGCAGTGGAGTGTATACAGGATAAAACTGCCAGGAGCTTAAGAAGCCTTTGACTATACCCTTTTTTTTTTTTTTTTCTATAGGGAAAAAGTAGAAGAAGAAAGAATTAACATTTTTGAAAAGCGCCAATAGAAAGGCATGGTAGGTTTTGTCTCTTTTCCACTGTATACGTGCATGTCTACTTCCTGCGTACAAATGTAACTTTTTTACTTCCTGTATGGGGTTTGCTGCCTCAGGGTATGCAAAACTGATTGTATTATTATGTAGTCAAATATTTGATGAATAGGTAATGCCCTTTTGTAAAGTACATTTTTTAAAAAATCATGGAAATAGCACCACACCTCCATGCTACTCTTTAAAGATATTAATTTATTAATCTTACTCCTACAAAGAATCAAATCTGACAGCATGATAAAATACGTGTTATCTTGCCATTTTCTAAATTACTGTCCCAAGCACAATCTGTAAAACTCTGAACAACTTAATCCAAATTTTCTGTAGTGTTTTATACGGAGATCATTTAAACAGACAATCTACAAAACCTATGCAGAAGGATTTATTCTTTTCCTGTCAGTGGGAGAGGTTAGGATTCTAACAATTTTCACTAGGGGAGACTTCAGAATCCCTCTCCCAGGCTGTGTGGACCTTCAAATCAATCTGCATCTTGGCGTAGCTTTTGCCATGACACCAGCTCCAGTACAGTTGCGTGTACTGGTAGCTCTGAGGCGGTGAAAGCTTGTTGTTACATTTGGTTTAGAATGAGGTGGCTTAAAAATCTGGCACACTGGATGGAGACAAGAAGCATGTAGTTGTAAAGCAGGTCTCCTGCTGTGATGCACTTTAAGTTTTTGTTTTGTGTTTGTTTTGTTTTGTTTTTTTTCCCCCCCCGTTGGGTTTAAACCTGCTTTTCCTCTCTTCAAAAGCTTCTGTGTCTTAGCCGTCCTTCATTGCAACCTCAGTGTCTTCAGCCAGAGCTGTGCGCCTTGTTCTGTCTATGACCTGACAACCTTTTTTCCTTATAGGAACAAATCAGTGTCCATTTCACATCTTAGATGAAATTGTACACACAGAAGTGCCTTTTGGGTGGATTTCATGTGTTGGATGGGTACTTCCCAGGCTACTTTATTCTTTTTGCATGAAGGCATGACCATTGCAAGGCCTAATGTAGTTTTTGGTATTACTTTCTTGGTTTTGTATATTCCCTTTCTGACAGTGAATGGCTGTTAATTTATCTGTATTCATCACCTAGAATTCATTTAACTTCTGCTGTGGTGGTTAAAATATGCAGTTTTTTTAAACAGCATCTATACATCCGTTACATACATACATGCACACACCTGCCTTCCATCTTTGGTGTAGAATGTCTACAAAATACTGAGGCATGCAGAAGGAATTGCTACCCCTGTTCACATAAGACAGACAAAGGACCACATACTTATTTTGGAATGTTGCAGGAAAACTAGGTATTTAAACATAATACTTCTCAGAACTTCTCAAATACAAAATTGAAGTCCCTATTCATTAGATGTCCTCTGCTGTTTTTATTTCCTTATGATCAAAAGTTCAGTTCTTTGCATTCAGGATGGAAATTGTTAATGGGAGGTATGAAAGCATGCCAGTGGTAATTCAGGTTGTGTGCTGAAGTTAGCATAATCCCTAACAATTTCTTATATGACTGCGTGTTAGAAGCATTTATTTACAAATTTGCCTCACATTAAATTGCAGTTCACTTTTATATGCAATTTTAGAGAGTATGTGCTTTAAAAATGTCATTTAAGCATTCTGGGTAGTAGTTCTCAGATTATAAATGGGAAATGTGTGAATACCATTCTGCTCATGAGGTTTTGGTGAGTTGATTTTTTTATGCCGTGCTAGATTAGATGTTTTATACAGATGTATATTCTCTGCATCACATATATTTGTGAATACGAAGTTCTTGCATTAAACTGTGGGAAACCGAAATTCACTGCTTCCCCAAATTATCTGTGTTTTCAGACAATACATTACTACAAAATAAACCAGTGTAGTCTACAGCTCTTGTGATAAATGAGTATGCCTTTTAGGTATCCTGTTCCAGGAGATCGTAACAGAGAGGGTAATTTCAGTATATATAAACAGGAAGAGCAACCTTTTTTTTTTCCATGTAATACAAGAGTAGAAGAGCACACCCTTTGGCTGTTGTCATGAAGTGGTGCATATCTGCATGTTCCTTACAGCACTCTTATTCAAGATTTAAGTGGTTGTAATTTTTTTTGGCTTTCTTCTGAAACTAGACCACCTTCTATATAAAGTGTTAATACAATTTAGCTAATTCATCTTAAATGTTACTTTATCAAAGCTTCCCCAGGTGTCTTCATATAGATGTAATAATTTATTGATTTTGAAAAATCTTTCCTACTGTATTCTAATTTATACTTCTTGGTTCACTTGAAGATATAAATACCTTAAGTATAAAGGAGCAATTCCTTAATTCTTTATTTTCATTATAAAACATTTTTCGGGTGACGTTTAAAAAGGATCAAGTGATTTCAGTGTCTTCTCTTTGTATTTTTACATTGTTAAACATGTTTGTCACTTCAGTAACAGCATGTGTGCTAATAAAGCTACTTGAGTTTCTAAACCTTTTTGGATCTTCATTTGCATTTGCTGGAGGTGTGTTACATCCAGAAGTTTGCTGGCCTTGATGTAGCGCATAAGGTACTGACAAAATAGCACGGTGAAATGTTTCTTGCAAGGTTGTGTTATAGAAACCATTTTTTCCAGCGTGAGACAGCTGTTGCAGCTTCATCTAGACCTCTAGGCAATTGAATGTCTGTGTGTAGAGTTAGAATAATGAACATAAAGTAATCTTAGGGGGTAGTTGTTATTTTCAAAATATGTAGTGATTAATGGCTTTTGTAGCCCTTGGTGTTTCCTTCTTACTGGAAAATGGTGATTTTTCTCATAATTGATTGATCAACCCTTTTAGAGGGTTGGATGATATTTCTTCAAATTCTTCAGGCTCTACTTTGTGAATATTTGTAAAAATAGCTGTAGATCAGTGGCATCTGCAAATAGCTACCTTTGTTATAGTGTGTTTTTTATACACCAGCTACTTTGCTTTTGCACAACCAGAATCCTAGAGATGCAGCCCTGTTCTTCAATGCTCGTTAGAAATTCTTCTGCTATGTTGTAGTATATATATCTTATTTTCTGTTGCTGTTTGGCTTATGAATTTATTGTCGATAGTAAATCTGGAAATAGAAACTGGAAAACTTGAAACACTGTTCAAACCCTGGACTTAAAACGTTGTAAAAATTGTGGAAAAATATAATTGCATTGTGAATATACATTTCAAATTCGTATGCTTTAATGACTTCTTAAAGGAAGGCTTTCTTCAGTTTTAGAGAATTGTTTATTTTGTTTTTACTTTTAGATTAACTAGTGTACTCTTTAATTTCAGAATGTATGAAAACATGTCCACAATGGTGTATTTAAAGGAAGAAAAGTTGGAGAAGCTTACTCAAGATGAAATCATTGCCAAAACTAAGCAAGTGATTAATGGACTAGAGGCACTGAAGAATGAACACAATTCAATTTTACAGAGCTTACTTGAAACACTGAAATGTTTGAAGAAAGATGATGAAACTAATCTGGTTGAAGAAAAATCAAACATGATTCGAAAGTCACTGGAAATGCTGGAGCTTGGCCTTAGTGAAGCACAGGTAAAATTGCAGTAGGCATAAGGCATTTCAGAATTTGAGGATTTACATTTGCCTTACTGAATATTAGTAATGTGCTGGGTCATTTACGTTGTTATTGTACATTAAGGAAAAAGACTGCTTTAATTAATAGAGGTAGATGCTGTCTGTCTTGCTCTGTTACAGAACTAGTTACGCATTCAATATTAAAGCACTGAAGCTCATAACTGAGCTTCTCTTTACTTCAGCTCAAAAGGTGATCATTGACCCACCCCCACCCCCACACCACCACCCCCACGTTTGTAGATGCTCCTGGGGCTTAAGAATCTCTACTGTTTATTGAATACTTTTGGACTAAACCAAAATGGAATCTAAATTAAAGGTTAAGAATTGAGTACAGAATCTGAACAACTTTCACTGGTGCATTAAAGAAAGGACTCTGAGCTAATTTCTGTGAACTGTTTTAGTCAATGAAGGTGTCATCTGCAGAAGATGGATCTCTTCACCCATGTTTAGTCAGGGTGTCAGGACTATATTTACAGTCCAACTTCAGGGTATTTTGTACTACGTCAAAAACCTGAAATGATGTGATGCGACACAATCATCAGGATAAAATGATAGTGTTTGCAAATGAGTTGAAAATGCCAATGAGTTAGCTCTGTATTACTAGGCTTTATATTGGTCCATAAGTGTGCCCAATCTTCTTATCTGGATTAAGCTGCTGTTGTTTGATCTGGAAGCTATATCCATTGGATCACAGTGACTTGAGACCTGAGAGACTGAACAAGTATGGGTTACCAGACATGGGAATGTAGAACCCCGGACATCATGGTACAGACTGTCAGGCCTTAATCCTTAATATATTGTACGAGCTTTGATCTCTTGCATTGGAAGAAAAATTCTGGAAGATATACGGAATAAAATTGCAGTAGTTGAGTTACCTTTAATTGGTGGTTGCAGAAGATCTGTGAGTGAATGAGTAACTTCTCTGTCCTAACTTTGACGTGGTATTTGGACTCCGAAAAGCTAATTGTGATTCTTGGCTCTACCGGATTCAGCAGCCTCGTTGCAGATGTTACTGCTGTGTTTGCCCCACATGGTGTTTTGTGAACTGTGGTGGTGAGGAGCCAAGAAGTTTCATTTACTGTCTTTGTTAGGAAAGCAATTACGCTTCAAACTACTGCTCTCAGACCTGATAACGTACTCTTCCTGCACACTTTGGGTTGCAACAACATAGTAATTTTTTTGATTTGCAATATTTAGATTAAGATATGGAAATATGTTATAGATGGCTTTGTGCATGGGTGTAGGTCTGATGACACTTTTGTTATTTCCATGAAAATGAAACTGACTTTGCTGAAGAAGTAATCGAACATTTTCTTTCAATTAATTCTAGCGAGAACTATCACAAAGGATTTTAGTTTGCTATTGTAGCTTGTACAATGTTGTTTGAATATGTTAACCCTATTATCACAACTTCCCTAAATATACTTTCTGATGTTACAAATGCCACTAAGTAGGCCAAGTAATTTAAATTATAAACAAATTTGAATATGTAAATAAGTAGGTATTGAAGTCTGGAGATTTGGACTGGTAATAGGAAATTATACCTGGAGGTTTTTTTACCTTTATTGGAAAAAAGTAATTTCTAAAGGCTTGATGTATTTTTTTGATCCTCAGCTAAGGCAACCATCTGTTTCACATGAAATATTTAGTTTAAAGCACTTCAAGCTAACTTTGTTTTAAAGAAACATGAAATTGAGGAGATGAAATACGAATAACTTGGGGTTCTCAAACTCATCTAAATGATTATTTGTATTGTCACCAGTGGCCCGTTCTTACAAGTGTGCTTCCTGGGGTTGCTGTCAGCTGTTCTACGTGTATTAGTGGGGGATTACATAAACAGTGAAGGGACAATATCTTCTGTGTGTAGTGTTTGGCTTTCACTTAGCAAGCTCCTTCATCATTTAACGTTGCTTAGCAAAAAAAACCTCAATCCAGGTAGACTCCTTTTATGGCTGTTTTGGTTTTTTTATCCTTCAATGTGACTGTTGAAAGGCATTGAATGTCCGCACACTCAAGCTTATGATATGTGTGTATATGTACGTATATGTCTTCAGTTGCACATTTAGATCTCAGTAGTATAATGGTCCTTTGAAGTATTATCATTATGCTGAGGTGTTCTTCCTTATGTATATGAATCCTCTGTCTGAGAGCTGTTAAATTAGAACTCTGTGTTAGTTCTTAGGTAATTTTTGTGATCCTTCAAGTTAAAAGTATTACTGCTTCATTTCCTGTTAGTGAAACAAAGATTTCTATGTCGGTAATCTAAATCCTAGTTCAAATTTTTAATGTATTTTAAGATTATATGTAATCTTCAGGGAATTCTAAAACAATTTTACTTTTGATAGCGTCATGGAAAACAATAATGAGTAAAGAGTTCTTCTAGGTTAAGTCTGGCTGATCAAATGGTAAAAAATGTTTAGAGGAAAAGTGAGAACCAGATACATACAGAAGAGAAATCTGACTTTTTACCAGATTTCACAGCTGGCATAGGTTTTAAATAATAAAAGGCTTTTACGTTAAGTACAGGACTGCATTCTAGAGGAAGTATGTCAAGTGATACCTTCTGCTTTTTAGGTAATGATGGCCTTGTCAAATCACTTAAATGCAGTGGAATCAGAAAAGCAGAAATTGCGTGCTCAGGTTCGCCGGCTATGCCAGGAAAATCAGTGGCTACGGGATGAACTAGCCAATACACAACAGAAACTACAGAAAAGTGAGCAATCTGTGGCTCAACTGGAGGAAGAAAAGAAACATCTAGAATTCATGAATCAGTTAAAAAAATATGACGATGATATTTCGCCATCAGTAAGTAGCTGTATAGTAAAAAGCACCTTACATTTGCATAGGTATTGTAATCTGCCCAGTTACCAAGAAATGACAGATACAAGCTTTTTATTTGTCTCTTAACATAAACTTGCCATTAAAACACTTACCTTGTACCAGTGTCATATAGCTTGCAGAAAGTTTCTTAGAGTTCAGTTCATTCTTATTCTGAGAGAAGATGTTTTACTATCTGTAGATAATAAAATACATATGAGGACCAAAGTGCATAAAATATTTATTTAGTATCGTATTAGCTTAAAAAATGGACTGAACAAACCAAAAATTTCTTCACTAAATTCAACAGTTAAAATAAGCAGCGAGTGTAAACTATTAGAGATTCTAAATATGTCCATGCAGGACTTGGCTTACTTTGATTGCAGGAAAAATATTCAGTTTTCATCTAGTCAAATCAGTGTTATTGAATCCCCTTTCAGGAGCTTCTGCCGGACACGGTGGTTATCTGCACGTTTTAAGTTGTGTTTAGCTAGCCCATTGTGTTACGTAGTCTTATATACAGAGAGGAATGGATACAATTTTAATTTACAGAAGTAGCTTATCACTTAAACTTCTGAATTATCTGCCCTTCTTGTTATGCCTTTATTTTGTTTCCTTAAGTTAGATGACACTGTAGAGAAAGATCTCATTTTGTGTGTTCAGACCTTCTCAGCTGTGTCTTGGAAAGAACGGTTTTTCATAACCAATTATTTCAGTAACACAATGGTTGAAAATATATGCGTTTTAGTCATGCTTAACTGACTGCTTGACTAAATCCTTTTTAACATACTGTAGTAGTGAGAGTTGTTTCGGTCAGTTGCATGCTATTTTATGAGTTGGTATTTGTAGCTGAATAATGTCAGTGAAGCCTGTTTAGAGGAAGGGCAGGAGGAGGGAATATTGGGATTTTGATGTGCTAACTGTTGAACTGTAATCTGCAGATGGCCTGAAGAGCACCATTATTTGAAGTTTAATTGGCAAATAGCGTCACAGCAAGCAAAGAATCTTTATAGTTTCACTAACCATATGGACAGTCTTTGTTGTAAGCCTTTGAAAATAGTCAATTGTATATACTCAGTATGAAGTTGGAATTGGCACACTTAAAATTAGGAACTTCCCTTTTGACATCTAGTCCCATCAATCTGCTGTTTTTGCAGAGCGCTCACTTTGCCACTGTTGAACTTTAATGCCAGCAGCAGCAGTTGCCTTTTTCTCATCTGTGGAAAAAGGTGTTGGATGGAGAGCCAGAAAAATAGGAATGTGTTCTGCTCCTGGGTTTTTCTCCTTACTGAGATTAACATTTCTGAGAACTTCAACTGTTTATATTGTGTAGACTCTACATTTAAAAAACAGGATTGAGGGATAATCTGTTTCTTTATTTTAGGTGATTGTGGGATTTGGAATGGTCTTTGGATGTTTAAAATCAGTATACACTGATGGATTGTGCAGAATTAATATGGTTCCAGATGGAGGCTATTGGAGATGAACTTCCTTCCAAGTGTTTTTGGTTTTGAACCTTACAGATCACAATTGCAAAATCTATTATTTGTGCAGAAGTTGAGTACTCAGAAACGGAGGTTGTCTCATTCCTCTCCCTTGCCCATCTGTAACTGTGTTAATGACTAAAAAAAGTACAGTGGAGAATTCTGTATTTGGTAGCGCTCACTCTTCACTGGGTACTTTCATTAGGTATAACATCTCTGTAAGAATAGCAGATGTGTTATTGTGTGCTTAAATTGAGACTGAAATCTGGGAGACCTGATTTCTATTCCTGGCTCTTCTGAAGGTGTCCTGTATTGTTTTGGGACAGAGTATGTAAATTATGTAAATACATTTGAGCATAAGACCTTCATAAAACTTCTGTGAGAAATGTTATTCTTGTCAGTTATGAAGTTCTGGATGTGGGGTTTTCCTTTAACCTTGCTAATTAAATGGTCTTTTCCTTTATGCGTTAGATTTAAATGTAACAATTTATTTGGGTTTGGGGTCATTCTATAGGAGGATAAAGATACGGATTCCACCAAAGAGCCTTTGGATGACTTGTTTCCTAATGATGAAGATGACCAAGGACAAGGAAGTAAGTGTACTTCAAATTACAATGTTAGTGTATTTCTGCAATGCAGAATATAAAGATGGTCTTTACAAAAATGAATCCGTGCTTGGGGTCTTCTAGGACCCAGCAGGAGTGGTGAATGCCTCGGCTAGAATAAGGAAACTAGTCACTGGTATACATTCTGTACATTGATATGTACAGAACTGGGCCTAGGTTTTTAAAGAGAGTTTACTAGCTGTTGTAAAGTTCTCGGGACTGACTTCAGTTCAAAATTTGTCCCACAGTCTTTTCTGTGGGCCTCAGAATGGAAAAGGTGCCTTCCAAGTGGCTGAGGCAGATTGTGAAACACTGAAACTTTTTGATGGTCTGCCCAGATGGTCAGTTCTCTTTGTGACGTTTTTAATAATCTGATTTAACGCTTTGGGGCGGGTTCAATTGAATTTTCTCATATAATCTTCTGTCCTTTGCTAAAGTTGTTTTCCATAGTTTTAATACTCACTCTAGAAGTGTTGTCTTCTGGTCAGAGGGACTGATGACTGTGCAGTGAAGTTTGAGGTAGAGGTTTGGTAGTGTGATTGAAAGCGGCCATTAATAGATAAACCTTGCGTAGTGAAATGTGTTTTCTGTATGGGTGTGAAGCGATGTTGTATAATGTAGGGATATTGTAGTGTGCATGCAGTGTGCTAGTAGTATGATGGTTCTTGGTAGACAAATTACTTCAGAAAAAATGTCTAAAGGGTCCCGCCTTTCTAATCAGCAGAGTTCTGGATTTCCTTTATGGGAACATACACAAGAAATGCTGCATTCTTGATAGCGTGATAATGCTATCCATAGCCAGCAATAGAAGGAAGACTTGAAGAGTTTGGGTTGGTGTTGACCATGAAGTACCTCCTGAGCTCATCCTTGCTTCCCTAGAATTTTGTAGTAGAAAAGTTGGATGGCAAAGCTGTCTGTATACCTGTGTAGTCTCTCTACCTTATTTCGCATTACAAAAGATAAAGTTGACATGCCAGTAATTTCCTTGACTTCCAGGAAAAGAACTGAAATGCTGTGTCAGGCAGTGATTGTGGGTGTAGGCTTGGAGCTGTATGATTCTACTGACGTAAAAAGGCTCCCACTGCTGTGAGAGTGGTTTTTTTGCTTAACAGAGAGGAGAGAAGAAAGTCAGACTCACAGCTGGAGCCCTTATCCTGTGTGGTGTCTAGAATGTAATGAAAATGAGTAAGAGGGAATTTTCTCAGTCTTCCCAGAAATCTCCCAGGTGAAGAGAAAAGGGATAGTAGATTTTTGGGGGGAGTGGGAGAGTTGCAACAACTGAAGCTTAGGAGCTACTGGAAAATAAGTGGCTAAACCTGAGGGTTTACCCCTAAAAATTGACACTCTTTTTGATGACTCTGTGCCTTTTCTTTTGCAACTGTTGTTTGTGGCATCCAGGGTGTTTTAATCCTTTACATGCCAACCTTAAGTACTCCTTGGTATAACAAACAAAGGGAAACAAACAAAAAAAATCTTTGTTTAGAGAAGGAGAGTAAAGGAAAAATGACAAATCATTTGAGCTTTTCTGCAGATATTTGGCTTGTTTATGTTTGTTAATGTTCCTTTCCATAGGGAAATGTCGATATTTTTAACTGCAAAATTATGATAGTCTTGAGAATTATTAATGATTTGCTGAGCTGAAATAGTTTCCTACTTTCTTTTTTACTTTATTATATTTGGTCCTCTGAGCTAATAGAAGTGTAAAAATAATACAGTACTGGACAGAATATGGAGAATAAAATGGTCGTATTTGCACTGTCACTGTTCAAGCATGATTCTTGTGAAATATTTTCTAATACTAATGCTTTGTATTGAATAAATAATTTTGTGTCATTGAGCAGTAATGTTAGATGTTTTAGTTACAGCAATTTTTTAAACAGCTTTATCTTGTGGATTTCTTTCAGTTCAACAGCAGCATAGCAGCGCAGCAGCTGCTGCCCAACAAGGTGGCTATGAAATTCCAGCAAGATTAAGGACCCTTCATAATCTTGTTATCCAGTATGCTTCCCAAGGTAGATATGAGGTTGCTGTACCTCTCTGTAAACAAGCTCTTGAAGATCTGGAGAAGACTTCGGGTCACGATCATCCTGATGTTGCCACTATGTTGAACATACTTGCTTTGGTGTACAGGTTTGTATACTGACATAGATAAATATCGGTTAAATAAAGCGTTAAGATGTGGCTACAACCTATTACTGTTCAGATTAACACTTTTTGACTGGTTTATTTTCCATTCCATTAATTTTCCTTTCCCTATTTTTCATTAAAACACTGAAGAGGGTCCTGCAATGTTTATATCCCTCCCTATATGTAGAAGTTAAACAAGTTGCTGTGTTTTTGCCTACACCTTTGCTCTGGGAATGAAGCTGATTTTGATACTTTTTTTTTGTGTGTGTGTGTGTATGCTGAGGGAGCATGTCTTGGTTACCCACTTACAGATGATCTAGAGTACAAATTGGACAGCACTATAGAAGCAGTGCATGCTAGTCCTCAACCAGCAAAACTACTTTACAGTTAAAGACTTGAGGTTTTTACTTCCTGATTTCTGAATATATTCTCAACTACTCTTCTTTTTACTAGCATCTTCTAGGCCAGTACTGAAGTCAGTTTCTTTGTTATTACTTTCTTTTCTGAATCCCCAGTATTAATTATGACTCTTTAAAATTTAGAGACCAGAACAAATACAAAGATGCAGCAAATCTCCTGAATGATGCCTTGGCTATCCGTGAAAAGACTTTGGGCAAAGATCATCCAGCGGTTTGTATACATGCAATATCATATTTTTACTTGTGTTTTTCACTGAATTTTTTTAACTTATTCTAATATTAAACTTAACAGGAAAGTTTTTAAGACCTGGCTTATGTCTAAACAGTACAGGTAGGAGGCCACAGTGTAACAATCATCGTTTTCTCTTAAATATTTAAAGTACCTCTTGAGCATTGTATTCAATGCTGTTTCACCACAAATGACTCGCACGCATTTGATTTCGGATTGCATGGTTCTTCTATGGGAAATGAATCTGTGAAGAAAGATTTTAATTTGCTTACTCAAATCACTTTATTAAACTCAGATTGAAGGGGTACTTCTGATTTGTTTTACTGCTGCTTTTAAATGAAAGATAAATCAAGCTTTTGTACTTCATGTTTAAAATTTACTGTGGTATGTCACTTCATGTAGCCTGTGTGAAGCAGGGCAGCTCTGAGTTACAGACGTGAGAGGTAACTTGTCAGAGAAGAACATATGTAGAAAATGTATGCATTAAGTGACGCTTCCACAAATGAAGCAAAGTATTTGATGATTTTGTTTTTCTTCTTTCCTCATTTGTGTATGTATACATTCAGTAGTAATTGTTTCTTCATTTGCAAATTTCAAGAGGTCTGCTCTGTGCATGGCAAATTTGAAAACATCAATGCGTTGCAGTTGTGTTCATTTGTCAGATATTTCTATCAGACAATTCCAGTGTGATTAATATTTCTCTGCTGTTAACAGGTGGCAGCAACTCTAAACAATCTCGCAGTACTTTATGGTAAGCGGGGAAAGTACAAAGAAGCCGAACCGTTGTGTAAGCGAGCTTTGGAAATCAGAGAAAAGGTATGAGTAAAAGAATACAGCACCTTTAAGTGGATTTTTTTGAGGGAGAGGGCAAAGTTAAACATGTCTGCTTTTTTTAGGTTTTGGTTGGGTAGATCTGCCAGATAAACCACAGAGTTAGCAAAGCCCTAGTAGTTAGCAGTGGCTGAAATTCAAAACAGTAGTAAATTCCAGTGGAGCTGTTGGAGCACTCCAAGTATCTTCTAAATTCTGTATTTTGTAGTTAACCTTCTTTACCTTTTTTTTTCCCCTTTGATAGTTAAGTAATCTTTGATTTGACAAGAGCTTTCTAATTGAAACTGAAACATCATTACAGTTTTTTAAGTTGATTATTCTGTGACACTGTGGATATTTATTCTAGTCCATGAGGCTGGCTGCCTGCATCTGCAGGCTTTGCATAATACGCTGCATATAATATTATTATAGTACTTACATTATTCCTGTTATGGTCTGCAGCATTCTCAGTTGACAACGGAACTGAGTAATTTTCTGCTTTTGTCATCCTCATGTTGAATTGATGAGGAATAAAGCCTAACAGGGTGTATCTAAACAATGCATTTCTAAACCCTGATATGATGATTGGAGGATGTTTTAATACAAGATATTTAATTTTCAGGTCCTGGGGAAAGATCACCCTGATGTTGCCAAGCAATTAAATAACTTGGCTTTACTATGCCAGAACCAGGGTAAATACGAGGAGGTTGAATACTACTATCAGAGGGCACTGGAAATTTACCAAACTAAGCTGGGACCAGATGATCCAAATGTTGCAAAAACAAAGAATAACCTGGTAAGCATTTTATAAAGTAAATCTAAGAAAAAGTAAAATTTTTCTGATGAATGAAAGTGCACCTTTATTCAGCATATATTGTGTTTATTATGTATCAAGCTAAAGAAAACAGTGTACTGATATCTTTTGGGGGGGTATTTTGTTTTTAGGCATCCTGCTATCTAAAACAGGGCAAATTTAAGCAAGCGGAAACTTTATACAAAGAGATTCTTACTCGTGCTCATGAACGGGAATTTGGCTCTGTAGATGGTAAGAAACTGAGTCCCTAGATTTGAACGTGTATGTCATTTTTGTGGTTTTTATGAAATACAGTTAACTTTCCGCTGATTTTTATCTGGATTAAAATTGCCGTCTGCTTGAGGTAGTCTTAAAAAGTGAGGTTATAGATGTGTTGAAGTACATTCATCCTAAGAAAGCGTTCAGATACAGCAGTAACGTTTGATTCAAAAGGAGAGTTTTTTTCTTATGTGAGGTAGACTTGGTAGGTTTATGTTTTATGGATTGTGTTTCTGTCATAATTTATCTTATGCCCAACCAAAACCAATTTTGGTATTTTTGTAGAGGCAGAAAATTGTATGTCACTTTCCAGTCGCAGGACAAAGTCAGTGCAGGAGTTACAATGATATAGTGAACACATTGTTAATGTGAGTCTGCCATTAATAGAACATTTAAAGAATGGGGAAAATACCCTTACATTGTGAATTACATTGTACATTGTAGTCAAATGCATTTTATCAACTATAAATCACAGTGAAGAGTTTTCATTGTATTCCATGACGGTAGCATATGTACCACTTAATAGATGTCAAAACAGTTGTTATGATTAAAGAAATAAATGTGTGTTATAGCACAGAACTATGCAAGTGACAAATCGATGGCAGCATATGCTGACTTGAAAGCTTCTCAGAAGTAACTGTTTCTAAGCTCAGATAAGAGAAGACAGAGTTGTAAAACTGTAAAGGAAGAGGTGCATGTTTTACCTGTCATATGGACAGTAATCTTTTTTGTGGTGGTAATAGTAGAATTCCGTGGTTCACAACTTTATTTCAGAACAGTGAAAATCAAACAATGAATACTTTGTAGTTTTGTGCTTCTATAAAATGTTTTCTTCTGTTTCTTCAGATGAAAATAAGCCTATTTGGATGCATGCAGAAGAGAGGGAAGAATGCAAAGTAAGGCTCTTGTCATAAATCTTTCTTGGAGCTTTTACTTATTTAAGTTATAAATCAGTTATTTTTCTTCCCTTTTTTTGTTTTTAGGGAAAGCAAAAAGATGGCACATCTTTTGGGGAATATGGTGGCTGGTACAAAGCTTGCAAAGTTGACAGGTGGGTAACTTCTTTACAGGACAAACAACGCGGCAATACCCAATATCCAGAAACACCGGATTAAAGCATGTTTAAAAATGAAACCAAACCAGCTGTTTGCTTAGGACTATAAAAACTATAGCATTAACAATTCAGGTCCAAGACTGGGTTTCAGGAACACAGTAGCAATTTACAACAACAGTCCTGAGGCTGCTTTTAATCTTGGCTGGCTAGATCTAGTAACTGACATAAAAATGCACCGGTTGTGTTCTTGGCCGTTCTTCACATGGAAGCATAGGTCACCTTTCTTCCTTTTCATACCGGTGGTTGGCGTACATGCTCTCCCTGCCCCAGCAAGACCTCTAGAAAGGGCCAGAAGCAAAACGGAAACTGCGCAAATAACTGAGTCTTGAGTTTTCTAGCTGGCACAAAAACCAAAGTTAAACTGCCACAGTTCAGCATTATTTGAGTTTCTAAAGCTTGAAGAACATAGTTTTGTGTGGATGAGAACGTGTACTTCAAAATGGGAGAAACAAGGACTGTAGCTTGGATTATACTTGGTGAAATACTTCTTGTTTGCTTGCTTTAATTTTGATCCTTAACTGCCTTTTTTTAATGTGCAGGTGGTACAATGCAAGAAAAACCTCCACATACTGATAATGTTCATACCTCACATGCTGATAATGTTCAGTGGGGGGGGTTAATTTCTTCAGTGTTTGAATGTGTGTGTTTAACAAGCAACAGAGCTTCTGTATTGTTGAAATTTGCTCTTTTTTTCTCTCCATCTTGAACTCTGGGTGCAGTACATTTTGTTGGTTTGTTTTTCATGTGCTAGATATTTCTAATGCATGAGGAAATCTTTTCTCTACTGTTACTGGAGCAAAACTTCACACAACAATACTGTGACTGAGCTAATTCTCATTGTGTCATTGAAACAAAAATGTCTTGTTCGAGCGCGAGACCGGTTAATGGAACGTGCGGTATTTTTTTCCCACGTTTATTGTTCAAGCATAGGTTAAATGCATCAAAACTGCAAATAGGTATTAAGTAAAAGCTCATCAAAGGAACTGTTAATGTGTTTTGTGACTAACACACACTACAGTAATGGGCACTGCATGCATGAGTAGGCATATTTTCTGGAAGCTTCACAGTTATTCAGTTGGACACGCTCAGATTGAGCTAGACTTTCACCTTGAGATGCATCTGAGAAACACCAGGATATAGCACTCCAGTTTTCTATTGAGTAGATCTAGAGGCTAGTTACTAACTTGCAGTTTCAGGGCTGTTGACTAATCATGATCTGAGACATTAATGCCCTTGGAAAAACTGTACCTCATGTACATTATAGTATATTTCGAGAGACTTATTAAATAATTACAAAAATAGGATAAATACTATATTAATTTAAGTTTTGTTAGTTTGTGAATTGAATAGTTTAGTGTGTGTGTGTATATATATATTTATATACTTTTTTTTTACTTTAGTCCAACAGTAACAACTACCTTAAAGAACCTTGGGGCACTTTACAGACGACAGGGCAAATTTGAAGCTGCTGAAACATTAGAAGAGGCAGCAATGAGATCTCGTAAACAGGCAAGTATGAAAATTTGCCTTGATGATATTTCTGCGTAGTGGTCATGCAGATTTTCAACACCAGCACCTATTGTACACGCGGAACATACAAACTTTTAGCTATTCAGTGCTGGTGCCTGCTGTCGCCCTCTGATTTCGGTCTGCGCTGGTAATAAACCGATACCTTCTTAACACTTGCAAACTGGTTAATTGCTAGGGCAGTGGCACCATGTACTGGGGACACGGTTCAAATTGGGGGTGAAATTATGTGGAAGATGAAGAGCAGCAAACACTGTGTTGACCAACAGTTGTCAATATTGGCTACATGTCCTGGGAGAGAGACTGTAGCTGGAGGAAAATGTGGAGTTTCTGTTGATAATCATCTCCTTTGCCCATAATGCTGTTCTGTCTTTAATAAGGAGCTGTCAGACTTGTAAGTGTTCTGTTTCTGCACACAACTGACTGGTGCAGACCTTTAGAAGATTGTTATAAAATTTATCAGTTCCTGTTTCTGTTACTTTTGCAAACCGATGGGATGGATATTAAGTATAAGGGGGGACTATGACTCTTTTGATGTGGAGAAGTTCTGTACTGTCTCTGTGCTCTTAAATCTGCTGTTCAAGTAACCCATTCTCAGTCTTAGAAGGTGGGAGAGTTTGTTTTGGGGTTTTACTGGCTTATTGTTTTTCCTTTCCCTTCTGGATGATTTGATACAGTATTTCTTACAAAAGTCCAGCAAACTGGACAAGCAAATGTGGCTTTTCAGCCAGTGTTGAAATGGAAAGCAAAATAAGAAAATACAAGTGGGGAAAAAAAAAAAAGTGGAAAGTTTAATTTTAACTTCGTTTTATGCCATAGCAAGATTTGTTTTTTGTTTTTTTTTTTTTTTCAGAAATGGTTTGTTTTGTTTGTTTTTCTTATATGTCCGTGTAAAGTTCTAAACTCTAAATTCAAGTAAACTGACTTAGGTGATGGACCATATCTTTATTGATTACGTACTGGTTTTTACTGGTTATACTGATTTGGAGTTGTATTTTAAAGAACGATACTGCAGTGTTTGATGTATATAGAAGCAGGTTTCTGGAAAAAGGAGAGAGAGAACAGTTCTGGGCAAATCTTCTGCTCTTCTAGTGAATTCAACAACAGTTCCCTTTGATATGAGGTGGCATAAGTTCTTTCTTCCACAAAAAATGGTGGAAAGCATGCAAGTGTTTGCCAGATAAACGGAATAAACCTGGTAAGAGGGAAGTATGAATCTTCAGCAAGGAAAATTCAAGGGTGGTGGGGGAATAGTTGATATAGATTCTTTTTAGTAAGGATGATTTTCACATACTTTTACTGAGGGTTCATTTTTGGTGTGTGTCTCACTCAAATGTCATTTGAAAATAAGAAATGAACGTGCACTGCATCTTAATGTATTTTCTTTGGTTCTTAGTTTTACTGTTGCCATTACATGTGATAATTTTTTTAGTGTGAACAGATACGACCAGGATAAGTAGGGGTAATAGTAATAAGAAGAGAGGAAGAAAACTTAGCTAGTAGTTACGTTTGTTTCCTTTTTTATATATATATATATTAAAACCAAACCAAAACAAAACAGAGCACAGCTTTTCAAATTCAAATTTTTACTGGGAAGCTTGGAATTGATTATTTGGGAATTAAAGGTGGGAGGATCTTGCTATTGAAGAAGTCTGTTTAAACTAGGACTCTAAATCAGCCCACTTCTCGCTTGCCAGTACCGCTGCAAAAACTATTCCTTGTCACCATTTTCCATAGAGCCTGCTGGAGGCTTCTTGCTGCTACTTTAGTTTTGTTAAGCATGCTTCAGATTTTCATCGGTACATCATACACCACCTATACCATAACATACCGTGTTACACACAGCGCTAGATTTGGACATGTAGGAAACGGTGCTGTCTTACTAGCAGCGTTTCGCACTACCTTTCTCTTCTAGGTCATTAGAGTAAAGGAGGACAGACAGGGTTAACGCATTTCTGCTTTTTGAGCTAAAAGCAAAGAGGTACTTGTGTTCCCAAGTGTGGAAAAGCATCAGTCCTCCACAGCTCTGTTCTCCTTTATGCATGTTTTGTTTGCTTTAGCTGCTGGGTTGGGTATGACGGATTTTTAATGACCGGTGAAGTTCTTTGTCCTTCGTCTTTCTTGACAGTGTCAGACAAACTGGGAAAGTACAGTTCCCCATCCCTTCAGTATTAGTAGTGTTACTTTTTTAACACATGAGGTAAATGAGAGACAATAGCTTTGGAACAGAGCCTGGAGTTTATATATGATACATCACCTTCGTAGTGGTGATTTTCAATAGTTTCATGCTTTTTGTGTTCTGTGCTGCTAAAGGGATTGGTGAAAAAGCCATTTTTAGCCCACGCTTCTCTACTGGGAGCTCTAGCCACTCTTCTGCACCGTACTATGTGGAAGTGAAAATATATGATCATTATATGTTGGTTTCATGCTTCCTTGTGTGTGGAATTCCATTAGGGAGGCCTGTTCTGCTCTTCAGTTAGTAGAAAGCAGCTATATGGGAACAAAGAACCTGATTTCTTCATGCCACTAAACCAACTTGCATTGTCATTCATGCACTTTATGGAATTTTGGCATGATTTTTCCTTTCTGTACTGTGGTGGACTTTATGGATTTGTCGCACAGATCCTCTGCTGCATTTGCTGCTAATGCTGCACAGTGAAAGATGCAGAATATTTTCTTTTGTGTAAGGCATTGATCTGGGATCTCTTCCTGTCAGCAAATACCACTTATGATGTGGAGTAGGTTTATTATAAAGAAAACAAAACTGAAAATAAGTATGATTTGAGCTTTGTTACTTTCTAGCTTCTGTGTTAAAAGATTTTGCCTTTAGTGCAGGGTTTTCATAGAAGGTATTTTAGCACTTTTAAGATATTTAAAGGATTATTTCGTAATTGATGGGCATTCTTTAACACAAAGTAAACATATTTTATTAACCATATATATAGCCTGTTCTATTATATGCTTATTTTCTATTTGATTTCTTTCTGAAGGATAAATTAGACTACTGTGCCAAGTGTCATATGTCAGTATTTTTAAGTAACACAACCTCTGTCTTGGATATTAGATATTCAGACACCTGCAACGTTCTTTTTAAAGGTGGGTGAATACTGCACTATTTGATAGGTGGAAAAGTGAGAATTGCATTGACTGTTCATGATCTATAGATTGCTTAAATATTAAGCTGGTGGACAGGTGGCTTCAGGTAAGTGACGTGAACGCCATGAGGCTTTGACAAATGATAGGAAAGGAGGAAAAGAATGGCAAGTCACTGAATTCTCAAACTACCAGGCTGACTGTCCACTTCATGCTATGTAGATGCCTGCAGTGTATAAAGGGCAACTCATCCTAACTGTCCTTTGAAAGCAGGATCAGGGTGATGGAATTATGGGTTGGTCTGACTTCTTTCTTGATATGGTTATTGTGTGTAAGTTGTAGATTAGTACAGCTTGCATAAAATAAAACCTTTTCACATTTTATCTAATTTTCAGGGTCTTGACAATGTTCATAAACAGAGAGTTGCTGAAGTGCTGAATGACCCTGAGAGCATAGAAAAAAGGCGAAGCCGAGAAAGCCTCAATGTTGATGTGGTAAAGTACGAGAGTGGTCCTGATGGAGGCGAGGAAGTGAGTATGAGCGTAGAATGGAATGGGGTAAGTACAGTACACAGTTTAAGAAAATAGCCTAGATAAATTTTCACCGTAACAAATATGGTTGTCCATTCACCAGCCTATCGTGTTTGCAGTAGTTTCTTGGTTGACCTACTTTGTATTTTGTGATTTTGCAGAATCAATTAAGAAATTAAGAATAACATTTTGTTTATCGTAACATAATGTAAAAAAATGGTAATACTTTAAAATTTTAAAACATCCTTTCTGTTGCTGTCCTGAACAGTGAAATTTCTTCAAGAATCCCAAGCAGTTGTATTTAACTCTTAAGTTGTTTAATGCTGATTGAGTGTCCTGGTTATGGTCTGGTGTATAATTCTTGTCAGTGGTTTCTTTTTAGTGGTAGAAATATTCTGGCAATTAACCTTTTGTCCTTTTGATGCCCTATTTGCCTGTATTTTAAATGTTTCCTTAAAAATACTGCATCTGCTGGAATCACAAAGAACATTTGCTATGGAGGTATTAAGTGTTAGCAGTTTTAGAGTGAATTAAAGTGATCAGTCTAACACTAAAGTAATTCAATCTCCTCCTTACCCAACTTGTTAGAGGAAAGAACGTAACTTTTCAAGCTGCTATTCAATGCATTTTGAGAGGCAGTGCCTTCACATAACAATGTGGTAGTAACGTCACATTTCGTAAGTGGAATATTAATATCCCTTTCCCATATTAGAATTCGACTGGAATCAGGGCTTGTTCCTCTTTGTTTCCCATAGATTGGCTTTGCTGTATTATGCTGATTGTCATAAAGTAGAAACATACATATAATGCGATTACATACGCATTTTTCTAACCGTCGTTTTCCTTTAATTTGAAAGACAGTGCAAGCTTTTAGTTATTGATCTGGCTTGTGTAGTTGTTTGCTTCCGTCACCAGCTTTCCCATGCTTTATCCCATTGCCCGCAATGGGATGGATACTGTACCGTTCATTAACTCCCAGCTGTAGTTCTGCTGAAAATATTCTGTTAGATTATGAAAGTGGTGTTGCCTGCTTTTGCTGTATGGGAGGGGAAGTAGCCTACTTTGCAATACTGGGTGTTCTGAAGTTTCATTTCTCTTACAACAGCAATCTTTTTTTCTTCTTTTTTTTTAGCCACATGACACAAAGTTTAGCATTCCAGAGAAACCTTGATAAAACACATACTGCTTTAGTCTTAAAGGAGAATGTTCTGTCCATCTTTGCTTTTGTCTCTTTATTACTGTTTTCTTGGCATTGGTGTTCTCAGTGCCAAGACAGTCAATCAGCATCTATTGTGAATAATACTGCATCATTAATAAAGCCAAAGTAAGGTTGGATAACTCCTTTTTTTTTTTCCTTAATTCTCATTTTGCCCATTCAGCATTAGAACTGTGTACTGTACTCCTCCCTTAATTTTCACTGTACTTTGCATGACTATATGTTCTAAATGGATTAAACTTTTCTCTGTTATTGACATTAATTATATTGACATTAATTAAAAAAGCATGCAGGTTTTGGATTGAAAGGGCCTTCTGTGGAAAAGCAATAGACAGTATTTCTAGGTCAATATTTGAATCAAACTTAGTGATAAAATTTGTTGATCTGAAAAATTAAATTTTGACTTCTCAGGGCAAAAAAACTTTCCATTTTTAGTGTGCTGAAGTGGCATTGCTTTATTCTCATCTTCATTATTTCTTTTTTTTTTCCCCTCTTAAGAGACAGTATTTTGTATTAAACATGTTTTACATAAAGTGGGCAACTCTCTCTCCCTCTACCCTGCTGGTGTTTCTAATCTCAGTGCTGTTCTTCCCTCTACTTGATATCGTATAGTTTTCTTACCCTCATGTGTTCCCTCCAGACAAAATACTCTGATTCATAAAGTATAATAGAATTTTTTTTGTCAGGCAGATAATTCTGTGGGCAGAGCCTGAAGAGAGGCCTGCCTTTTCCCTTTGAATTATTCTGAAGTCATCAAGCTGACTCGATTTCTTGGCAGTCAGAGAATAGGTGGTGTGTGGAAAGCATCAAACTTCAATGAAAAAATGATGTTGGAAGATTGATTGTAATTAAATGACTTCCTTATGGAATGTATTCACTATTAAGCATTCTATGCTTTGATGTAATGTCTTACATTCTTACAAAAAGAACTGAAATAGCTATTGGAAGTGAACCTGTTATTAACTATTAACTAAAATGAGCATGCTAAGTGAGGTTATGTAGTGCATGTTTACGTGTTTCATATAAAGTCCATCCCCTAAAGTTAACCAAAGATACTTGAAAATGTGAAGAAATACTTTGCCGTAAAACTGCAAGGCAGAAATCCCAAGATTTTTGTCCCTTACTATGTTTGTATATTTAAAATGACAGTGGGTATCTGTAATTGGCACTTCTGGAAATTGACCTGGCAGCCAGTTGCAGGACAGACAAAAGTAGTATGATACTGTTAATTAAAAGCATGTTTTTAGTGTGAGGAAGTATCTTTTATTATTCTAAACCATACGCTTCAAAAAGACAAGCTTTTGGGCACATCAGTCCACTGCCAGGTGTGAAATGAAAGCAATAGACTTGCGGGTGGGAGTTGCTTTTGTTTAATAAGAGGCATCAGACAGTCAGGGGTATTCCAGCAGACGACTGCAAAGTAGTACAGGAGATGAGGATGGTGGGGAAGTGTAAGCAAAAGTAATAAGGTGATTGTTCTGAGTGACATGAAAATTGGTGATTAATTTTTGCCATGGAGATGGATGTCTCTGATTTTTTTCTTTTTGTTTGTTTACACTGGATTTAGGATTTTTTTTTTTTTTTAATCCTAAACTCATGTTTTAAAGATGTGTTGTTAATCATTCAGTCAGTATTTAACCTGGAAGTTCAGTGTTTTTATTTCACATTTGAAGTATCCAAAAGCTTGTCTGCTTGTTCCTAATGTGCTAGTTAGCACAATCAGTTATACGCTATATCTACCAAATTTATCTTGCCTTTGTTCATTATCACTACCATAGTGTCACTGGTTTAAGACCATAGGAATAATTAGCCTTTTCACTGATCTCATGCTTCTAATTGGAATCGGACTTCGATTTATTCAGTCCTGCAAAGCTGGAGTCTGTTTTTTTAAAGTGTGAATAATATTTGCAATTTAGTTTGAAACATAAATACTTGATTAGATTTTGATCTTCTGATCATGTGGTAGCAAGGCATTTTGCCATTTGCAAGAATAATTTTAGTTACTGTTCATTCCAATTGCTATAGCTAAAGGCTCTCAAAACCATGCCATAAGTAGTGGTTTCTGTACCTAACACTGAGAATGGAAAGCATGTGAATTGAACCATAGCTTATATTTACAAATCAGTTCTTTTAGCTGCCTCACTGTATTAGCGAAAGTACGGAAGTTTCCATTTGGATAATAAATAGTCACACAGATATGTTCTAAAACACACTCATGAGGTCAGTTGGATTTGAATTCCTTAAAGGAACGAACAGAATTTTGTCTGGAGGTTAGGGGGAAGCGTCTTTCTTCTTGCAGTTTTGTTTCAAGGAAAATTCCTGACAGAAGTTAAAGCTGAAATGAATGCACCTTGCTCTATTCCTTTCTTCTGTTTTGGTTTGGTTTGGGTTTTTTTAATTATTATTATTTTTGTGTTACTGTCAGCTGAAAAAAAAATAAATCTTTGTTTATGAAATGTATTACTAAAGCTATCCCTTCTTAAAGGTGTTCTGTGTTTCGTACAAATTCTGACTTAGAGAACGTGCAGCATCAGTCACGCTCGTTTGCAAGTCGCATATTAGTGATAGGGCAACACTGAATAAAGATGTACGTTCTGGTCATTGCAAGGGCCTGCGCTTTGTCCTTAAGGAAAAAATTGTTTTGAATGTGACCTAGAAATACTGTAAACATAACTGTTCAAAATTGAAAACTGTTGCATTTTCCCCAACAGTTTCATTCAGTTTTTCTCTCTCCATTTCTGACAGGCCTAGATGCCTTTTGTGATTCTTATACTGTCTCCTGCATGACGGGCGTGCACCATCTTCAAGCTTTAACTTCTCTCTTCAGTACTGACTGCTGTGTTTTAGCAAACCCCTTAAGATTCTTGTCAGAGCTACACTTCCCTGTAAACTGGCCATTCCTTCAGTGCTGGTGTCTCTTTTTGGTTTTCTATTTCTGTACATGCGTAGCTTTGCCAGATATGTATCTAGTCATACAAAATGTTACTACAACCATTTGCTGTGTAATACATTAGTAAAAAAAAAAAAGTACAATGACCTTTATAAGTAGCTGTTCACTATGGAAAAAAGGTAGTTAAAAGTATCACACAAGGTATTATTGAAATGGCATGATGGTGATCTTTACAGGAGAAAAACAAAACCAAACCAGTAAAAGTAAGGCATGTTCTCCAAGTGCTTTAAAATGTATTTAGAGACCTATTACATGGTTAACATCAATATGGAACTCTGGATGTCTTCACTTATGATTATTCTAAAGTAGCATTGCTGTTTAGTCTTTGTGTGAGATTTTGGCAATTATGCTTTTCTCTACTAATCTTGGTGTTCAGTGATTTGTGTATTTGTCTTTCTAACTTCTAATAAACTCACTCCAACTCAGGTGTCTGTCTTTGTCTTCTTAGTAGTACTTTACTTTCCTCTTCTACAATTCTTTTACGATTCTTCTTTCATAATCACATAGGATTTCTATGAAGTAGGAAGTGGTCGCTTCTAATCTTACTAAACTATTGGGGTTTTTTTAAGAGTAAAACACTTTAAAATAGAGTTACGGTCAGTTGGAAGTTTCTTTGGATCAGCACAGCAGTGTAAAACATGAATGCAATGTATGAGAAGTTCATTTCATCATGTTCTACGTTTTGTTTGGTGAAAGTTAAAATGAAGCACAGGAATTTAACCATGCATGTTCCTGATCAGAAATATTTTTTGTTTAAGGAGTTTAGGGTTAATTAAACATCTTTGCAAGTAATACAGATATTTAGAAAGAATAAACCAGGTTTTTTTTTCTTAGACTGATGGAATGCTTTTGCTTGGGGCCTGTTCTGTGTTAACCACAGTGCGCTCATACGATGTGGTAACATGGTGATGGTGCATTGTTTGACTGCTGTGGTGGGGGTTTATTAATTGTTATGAATCGTGGCTTGAGCATGTCTTCACATTTTAGAAGTCTTCTTTACAGTTTGGAAGGAACCCTTTTGTTTTGGTGAAGTTGTAGCTGTATGGTATTATGTGTTTAGGTAATTGTACCGAATATATATTAATAGCAATAAAACCCCAATATTTCATCAATAAAATGTTTTTGAGCCAAGCTTGGGGGAGGGTGACAAACTCTTGCACTTTCACATATGTTCAATTTTTTTCAGGATGGCACTGGATCTTTAAAACGCAGTGGTTCCTTTAGCAAACTTCGTGCTTCCATTAGACGCAGCAGTGAGAAGCTGGTTAGAAAGCTGAAGGGAGGAAGTTCACGAGACAGTGAACCAAAGAACCCAGGGTAATTATCTGTTCTTAGCTGTGCTGGTGTGCCCTTGTTCTGTGCCCCCACTCTAGCCTAGTCTAGTACCTAGGGCAGTGTTTTCTTCTCGGCTTAGCTAACTGCATGTCATGTAGATTTATATCTTAAAGAAAAATAAAATAGGAAGTAATTTCTTAAACTTACAATGAAAGTTCTGTAACATCTGAGGGGTTATATTTGCTTTTAACTCAATTTTAACCGTGTTTTTTCCCCTTTTTATGCTTTAGCCACTTGAAAAATACGAAAGCTTTTGTAGAATTACTGATAAACGTTAGTTACCTCCAAAATTCTCCTTTTCACACAGCAGTGAAGAATAATAAATGTTACTGATTTTTTGCAATAAAAGCTTGAATATGGTAAACCCACAACTAACATTCTTGATACAGATGTATGTATTACTGTGGGTATAAAGGGAATTACTGATTTGAGCCGTTCTCAGTTTCTGTTTTTGGAAACCCCAGGTTTCAGAGAGCGGAGGAGAATGTTGACAAACTTGAACCTAGTTGTGCATCTCACTAACATTTTGGCCTCAGTGAAGTCAGTGGTAAAAATTCAAATTTTAATGAATCTGACCTCTCACTCTTCCTATTTACCATATGATTATGGATTTGGATGTATGCAATATTTCTAATAAATGTATAAAAACATTTACTGTTTCTCATAATAGCAATTGTGGATGTTCGCCCTCACCCCCAGCATAATTGCTGTCAGTGTTGAAGGGTTTTTTCCCCTTGCTGTGAAAACTGGAATTCGTTTAGTTGACAGGAAACTATGACAATATGAATTTGAACTTATGCTTTAAAACAGTTAAATTGGAGAAGTTGGAGTAACTTCTGATGGAGCAGCTGGATCTATGGGTAATACAGTAGATGGTGATGATGGTAGTGGCTGAGACAGTGATCTGGAGATAGGGTCTCACAGGGTTTTTGTAAGTGCTCCAATGAAGTTTTGCTTCGTTGTTTTGATGTGGTTGTAAAACATTGTGTACAGCTGCAGTACACGTAGAATTTGCTTCCTTGCATATCTGTTTCAAATTCAGCTCGATCTGGTTTTTAGAGTTGTTAGAGAATTAAGATTTCACTCTTGGCTGCCAGAGACTTGATGTTGAAGGCACTGAATCAAACTCAAGGTCAAAAATCCCTTTGCATTTATTGATACATCATTAAGAACTGCCTCTGAGATGATAGATTGGAATGAACAGTGAAAAGCATGTGATTAGAAGAAGGAAATAATGTAAATGTAAAGTGCTTTAGGGAAAGCAAGCAAATGCAAGCCAAAACAGAATGAAAGGGATTTCCTTCTGGCTTCAGTATTAGCATTTTTATATGTTGGTTTTCTGTTTCTGTTCACTCCTGTCTTGAGTTCATACCTTGTAGTTCAGGTGTACTCTTGTATGAGTAGATGTGTATATTCATAGCTAATTTTGCATATTTTTTTACTTATTTTTGTGAGACATGGAAAGGTTTTCAGTTTCTTAAAAGCCAAGAGTTTTATTCCTTGTTCTCTGTAGAAAATAGAGCTAACTTTTTCTGCAGGTAAGGTAACTCCATGATTATGGGTGTAGAAGAATTATGCTTATGTGTAACTGAAGACATTTGGCTTTGCAGTGTCCTGTAAGAACTCCCCTGCCTTTTTGTTGTCTGCTCTTCAGTAGTGTTATTTGACGAACGCAGAAGTAATCTACCCACATTAACGTTAATTACATTGTGGGGTCTCTGTCACCAGATAAGATTTACTCAAGCAAAGACATTAATGTGAAACGAAATTGAAAACGAAGGAATATCTTTCCTGCTTTCCCTTTTTGACAAAATATTATTGGTTTTTAGATGTCCCTGTAGTTAATTTATTCTTAAAACTTGCTGTGTGTTGCATTGACAGGCTTTTATGTAGATACGCACGCTGAGTGTGTAAGACAATAACTATTACAATTTCTGTTCTTCTAAGATACACTTTTTTTAATCCTAATTTATATTAGCTGGTTTTAATAACAAATGCAAAGATTCCTGGTGTTAAAAACCAGCTTTGTAGATTACGAAGCATAGCTGTACATACTGAAGTACATTCCAAGAAGTCATTTTGATTTCATTTGCTGAAGAAACTTTAGTAAATAGAGATAATTTTTTTTCTGCTTCTGAGCTTAATAAAAGGGATATTCAGTTTTTATTATGCAAACCCTTTGGTTTTGGTGTGTTTGCTAGCTGAAGATTACACTACTGACGTAGCATCCTTCTAAATCACTTTTGCTACGGAGTCAGCCAGCCATTCTTGGTAGAAAGACTTAGGTGCTTCCCTCCTTACCAGTACCTTCTCCTTACCTCCTTACCTCTGCATTCCCCGCCCATGTCTCCATGAAGACTTAGTTTTGAAATTCATTTACGCTTGTTGCTTATGCTGTGCTTCTGTAAATAGTAATTGTCGGTGCCGGTATGATTCTGAGTGAGAAGTGCTCAAATAGAAATACATTAATAAAACAGCTTGAAAGCCAGACAGTTTTCATGTTGCTTTAATACAGAAGATTGAAGAGAATAAAGTGGAAAACTCATCAGGGAAATTGTTTCTTTAAAATCATGCAAAAACCTTTTTGACAAAGAACAGCTCTCTGAAGAGCTGCTCTTTGAGACATACAATACCTGAGGCATGGTTTCAGTTTGTTCTTTATCATATTTCAGAATTCAGTTCTCTAATAATTGAACTTTGCTTTGTTAATGTTAGGTTTACTTTTTTTTTTTTATTTTTAATTTTGGTCATACAGCAGAACAGTTGAGATTTGTAATTTAAAAGGGGAGGAGGGGGGCAAGCTTTCATTATTGATATTACTTATGCACCAGAAAAACAACAGCATGCTATTTGTGCAGTCATATTTTCTAACATGGAGGGAATTGAAAGTGCATTTGCCAGACTGAAGTTCTTAAGTATGTTGATTAAAAAAAAAAACAACAAACCAAAACAACAAAAAACCAAAACAAAACCAAAAAAATACCCCAAAACCCCCAAACCAACCCACAAAGAAACTAGTATTCAAAAAAAATTTTTTTTTAAATTGGCACTTCAGCAAGAACCTAAAAATGCTTGTGTACATTTTTACTGGTGGGTTTTCTGTTTCCCTGGAACGTTTTCCATAAACCTTTATGCTCTTTTGAAGAGTTTTATGTAACATGTTGTTTGTGTTTTACAGATTAACTCACTCTGACTTCCATTTATAACCTCGGTTGTACATGTTTCATTGAATAAATGAGGTGTATGCCATGCATGAGTCCTTGCTTTGTTGTTGCTAACACTCATGTCAGATACTTTAAATTGTGTGTGTTCTGGCTTCTGAAAGGTTCAGATTCAATGCTAGGAAAAGCCAGTGAGCTTACGTTATGTAGCAGCTGTTGCCTGTGTTTGTTAGTGTTTTGCTTCGTTATTCTGCTAAGCCTTTGCGTTACGAAAGCATATAAAACTGGTGCTTGACTTTGTCTGTAGGCAGTCTTGCTTCAGTAGAAAGAAAAACTGGTTAATATCTGATGTGATCTGTATGGATAAACCTTTCCATGCAATTGGAAAGCATTGGAAGCCTCACATGGCCAGTTGTCTGTAAAGCTGTAGGTAGCACTGCAGGATTAGGGCCCCGTTGTCTTGTGGGTAGTTCATCAAATATGTACTGAAAGCCCTCGTTTAGTAGTTCTGGAATAGTTATCAAAGCCAACGTAGCACATTCTGAGCCATGTGGGGACACACTGGGATGACAGGGATCAGGC